CTCCACCACCAATGAACTGATGGTTTTCCTCTCTAAAGTCAGCCCTCCTCATCTGCACCATATCACACCCCCTCCTTCCTACCCAAAGACAAGGCTCCAGAAATTCTCCCCCTCTTGTCTATATTAACAAATATTATCTTTCTACAACAGCGTTGCTATTAGCGTACAAATATCCTGTGATGCCTCCTATCCTGAGAGATTGTCTTTTTTTAAATTTAATTTTTATTGGTGTATATTTGATTTACAATGTGGTCTTAGTTTCTGATGTACAGTTATACATGTGTACTATTCCTTTTCAGCTTCTTTTGCATTATAGGTTATTACAAGATATTGACTACAGTTCCCTACGCTATGTAGTAAGTTCTTGTTGTTTATCATTTGCTTTGCATGTAGTGGTGTGTATCTGTTACTCCCGAATTCCGAATTTATCCTCCTTCCAGCTCCCCTTTAGAAATCATAAATTTGCTTTCTATGTCTGTGAGTCTATTTCTGTTTTATAAAAAAGTTCATTTGTATCATTGTTTTAGATTTCACTTATAAGTGATATATATTTGTCTTTCTCTGACTTACTTCACTTAGTATGATCATCTCCAGGCCCATCCATGTTGCTGAAAATGGCATTATTTCATTCTTTTGTATAACTGAGTAGTATTCCATTGTATGTATGTACCACATATTTTTTATTCATTCTTCTGTTGACAGACATTTAGGTTGCTTACATATCTTGGCTACTGTAAGTGGTACAGACATGGGGGTGCATATATCTTTTTTTTTTTTTCTTTTTTTTCCACATAGCAAGCAGGATCTTAGTTCCCCATTCAAGGATGGAATCTGTGCCCCCTGCAGTGGAAGGTTGGAGCCCTAAACACTGGACTGCCAGGGAACTCCCTGCATGTATCTTTTTGAGTTAGAATTTTATGCTGATATATGCCCAGGAGTGGGATTGCTGGATCATGTGGTAAGTATTTTTAGGAACCTCCATGCTCTTTTCCACAGTGACTGCACCAATTTCCATTCCCACCAATGGCGTGGGAGGGTTTCTTTGAGAAATCCTCTCTGATCCCACTTCTCTTTCCAGTTACTTTCCTATTTCTCTCTTCCTTACAAAACACCTTGAAAAAGTTGCCACAGTCAATGTCACCAATTCCTCTTCTTGCCTCTCCTTAAAATTCAGTTCAACCAGGCTTCCCCTGCCCTCCACTCCACCAAAACTGCTCTGATAAAGACCCCAAGTGACTCTGAATAACATCTGGAATTACTAACTTGAACAGTCAATTCACAATCCTTATGTGACTTGACCTCTCCTGTCTCCTAGAAACACTTCCTTCACTAAACTTCTTCCTACTTCATTGATTGCTGTTTATGTTTCCTGTTTGGGTCCCCTCTTGCCCAGCCTCTTCATGCTATTAAGTCCCAGGACTCAGACTTCAGCCCCCTGCTCCTCTCTGCCTATATTCACTCCTTGATGAGTACATCCATCTACATACCTACAACTCTTAATTATTTATTTTGAACCCAAATCTCCCCATTGAACCCTAGGCCTAGTTATCCAACTGCTTTCTCAGCATCCTCATTGAGATGTCTGATCATTATTTCAAATTTATAGCTTCCAAAACTGGGCTCCTGATATTCCTCCCCAAGTCTGCTTCTTCTGTAGCCCTCCCCGTCTCAGTTCATGCAACTCCATCCTTCCAGGCCAAACACTTTGGAGCCATCATCAGTGATGCTTCTTTTTCTCTTGGTCCTTACATCCAATCTGTTATTAATAGTAAACCCCACTGGTTTCAACATTGACATATATCCAGGATCTGACACCACTTCCCACTTCTGTTGCTGTCACCCTGGTCCAAGCTATCTCATCTGAATTATTATCATCTAGATGATCACAAGAGCCTCCTAAGCCTTTGTTTCAACCCTTGCTCACCACGCCTAGTTTATTCCTCACCCAGTAAAGAACGAGCCTTTTAAAACCAAGTCAGGTCACGTTGCACATAGCTTTCCAATGGTTCCTCATTTATCTCAGAATAAAGGCCAATATTTTCACAGTTATCAACAAGGCCCTGTATATTGGCCTTCCATTCCTTACTAAGTTATTACATCTGTCCCCCTTTGCATGACTGTTAGCTCCACTTGGGCAGAGGATTTTGTTTGTTGTCACCACTCAGCCCGTATTTGTTGAATGAATAAATGAATGAATGTAGAAAAAGGACCACAGTGAGGAGAGGCTAGAGGATGGGGACCAGTCATGAGCTATTGGAACTGCCCAGGTGAAAACTTACGAGATGCGAAGTCAGGAAAACATAATGGGAATAATATGGCCGAATGTAGTTCAGAGCCATTTTTTCCCAAAATTTACCAGCCATAGTGACTGCATGTTGAGGATAAGAAGATGGGCAGGGGTCAAGGAGGCTCTCCAGCTTCTGGACTGAGCAAGAAGATAGGTGGCAGAGAGGAAAGGCAGAGGGCAGCCATGGAGTCTGGGTTTGAAAACATTGAGTTTAGGAAATGTTCACTAAGAATAACTATAACCAAACCCTTCTTCTTTTTGGAAGCTGTGCTGTGCTTTGTCACTCAGTCATATCTGACTCAGTGCAACCCCATGGACTGTAGCCCACCAGGCTCCTCTGTCTATGGGGATTCTCCAGGCAAGAATACGGGAGTGGACTGCCATGCCCTCCTCCATAGGATCTTCCCAACCCAGAGATCAAACCCAGGTCTCCTGCATTGTGAGCAGATTCTTTACCAGCTGAGCCACCAGGGAAGCCTATGACTGGAGTGGGTAGCCCATCCCTTCTCCAGGGGATCTTCCCAACCCAGGAATCGAACCAGGGTCTCCTGCCTTGCAGGCAGATTCTTTACCAGCTGAGCTACCGGAAAAGCCCCTTTTAACTGAAAATATACATGGTTTGTGTTATTGTTATTTAGTCCCCCTAAGTTAAAATATCAATTGTGCCAGTGTAGTGATCATTATCGCTTAGAAAGCAGCTAATGTATATGCAATGATCCACTTATGCTTATTAGATGATATGATTTAAAAAAATTTTTTCATATTATACAAATAGTGTATATTCATTGCCAAATGATCACAGGAAGTTAAATGTTTCTCCAAGAGGTGGTAAACCATCAAAACTGTTGGTAAAACTTGGCAATAGCAAATTCTTTCATTTATATTAATTTGGCAAATCAGTGGTTTTTGTTTTTAGTAATTTACAAGTGTCTTACTTATTCAAAGCCAGAATCTTCTAATTGACCTGAGAACCGAGCCTTCTTTCAGTGGCATTTCCCTCAAAATGGCACTGCAGCTGCCATTTGCCTCCTACCCTTCACCCTCTTGCTGACATGAAGTTGCCCTCAGAGAGCTTGTGTTGAGTGTCTGCCAGCTGCCCGCCAACTCCAAGTGGAGGCTGTGGTAAGTCTACCAACTAGAACCCCCTGGCTCCAGAAGAGCTGGGATTTCCTAAAGTATAAATTCCAAGCAAGCTTCAAGATGTAAATGGAAAGAAAGCAAAATCTCTCCTACCAGCATTTGTACTCGAGAAGCAATCAAGAGTAGAAATCTCTAGAGAAAAAAGAAATTCATTTAAATTTTCTAGGAAAGGATGAATCTGCTTAAAAGACAGAGAAGTCAGTCTCTTATGCAGGTCTTCTTATCTTTGGGGAGGGAGCTGAGGTGTGTTTGCATTAGAAAACTTGGAACCTTAGTAACTGAGAGCCATTCTTAACCTCAATTTCCCCGTCTACAAAATGGGAGAATTACACCAGCCATCAAGTTTGGTGTTAGATGTAATGACTTTACATATATGAATGTTTCATAAACTCCAAGTGCCTTATACCTGCTACCCAAAGCCTCCTGCACACACATTAGCTCCTGATTCAAGTGCAGCGCACTTTGATATTCATGGGAATAAAACAGCTTTATGCAGTCTTTTCTAATATTGCTCCCTCATTCTCCCATACCTTCATCCCAGTCCTTATTGTGCTTTTTCTTCATAGCAGTTATCACGACCTGAAAATGTACTTATTTATTCTCTCTTCCCCTGCTAGATGTCCTGCTCTATGAGAGCAAGACTATGCTGTTTTACTCACCACAGACTGTCCAAGTGTCCAAAAGAAGTCTTGATGTACAGTATATGCTTAAAAAGCAGCTGTGAGAATGTTGAAAGATAAATGCATGATCCGACTCTTTCAGGAGCAGGATTGCATAGTGGTCAAACAGCATGTTCTCAAACTTCAGTTTGCTTGTTTTAGAGGCAGGTGCCTTAACACAGCACCGAGGACTTCTGATTAAGCAGGACTGGCGAGCCTACTGGATCTGCTATTTTTAACAAGTGCCCAGGGTGATTCTATTGCAGAAAGTCATTCTAAATCAAGATAAATCTTATTCTGACTCCAGCCTGACACTAACTGTATGACCTTAGGGAGGTAACTTCTTAATTCCTCTGAGCCTGTTTCCTTTATCTGTAAAATAGGACTGACAGCATTCCCACGGAGCTGTTATGAGAATTAAATCAGGTAATGGGTGTAAAGTTATTGGCACAATGCCAGTTATGCAACTGGCTGCCACAATCATTACTATGGATTATTTTATTTTTATGTCCTGGCAGAACAAGAACTTTCTCCTGGGAGGCCTGCTCTTGGGAATGTCTTCAAAGTGTGGTTGGGACCAGCATCATCATCACCTGGGAGCTGGCTGGGGATACAGAATCAATCGATGCCCCACTCCAGACCTGCTGACTCAGAATCTGCCTTTTAACAGGATTCAAGCTGATTTGTTTGCACAGTCAAGTTGGAGAAGCACCGCTCAAAGTCACAGGTCCTGTTTTCTCCTGTCTCTATTTTCAGAGTCTGCCCAGGAGGTGGGTGAGTGCCCAGAATCCCAGAGTCTGAATCCTTCCTCTAAGTGGAGAGGAGAAAGCCCCAGCTCCCTGGAGGTGTACCTCCAGCTGAGCCAGAGAAACTCTCTCGCAGAACCCTGACTACGGCGTCTGTGGAGCCAAGAGATGGATCCAAACTCCAGCTTGCTTTCGGGTCCAGCCCAATATCCGACAGAACCTTGTATGGAAGGTGGAAGAAGTCTGTCCCCCAGGGAGCAGAGCAGATGCTCCCCCTTTGCCTGGAGTCAGGTCCCCAGCTCCAGCCTCTCCGACCCTGACTGCTTTGGGGATGAGCACATCCAGGCAAAGAGGGCCAGAGTAGAGACCATCGTCCGAGGCATGTTCCTCTCCCCAACCCCTTTGGGGCCAGGCAGGGCCCCTGCCGGGGACAGCCTGAGCTGCCCAGAGAAGGCCCAGGGGCGGAAGAGGAAGCAGAGCCTTCCCGCGCAGCAAGGTCCCCTGGAGCCAGGCCCTGCTGGGAACCGGGGCTGCGGCAGGAAGGGGGGCCCTCGGGTGAGAGGACAGCTCCACCTGCTGAGGCAGCAGGTGAGACACCTGCAGGAACGCATCCTGCGGGCCGTGGAGCCCAGGGCCGCAGCTCAGGGCCCTCTGACGGCAGACCAGAGGAACGGCCCTGGGCCTGGGCCCTGGGGGGTGGACAGCGACCACCACCACTGCCCGGGGTCCATCGGGGACCTCTCCAGACTGGAGAAACACAGAGTGTCTGAGGTCCAGTACCTGCCTGAGGGGCCCAGGTTTCTTCCCTCTGAAGCATGGGCCTTGCTGGAGAGTCTGAAGAAAGAACTGACGGGGGCCATATCCCAGGCTGTGGACTCGGTGTTACAGAAGGTACTGGTGGATCCATCGGGGCACCTGACTCAGCTGGGCGGGAGGTTCCAGGGGCCCGTGCCAGACGGGAGGAATGAGTCCTCGCCTCCCGAGGGCGGTGCCCGTAAAGATCCGCTTCCTCTGGCAGCCTTGCCGAGGCGGGTCCAGACACCAGCAGGGGCTCCGCTGGGAAGCTTAACGCTGGCCAAGTCTCTAGATCCTCCCAGGTACCCCACCTCTCCGAGAATGATCCCCAAACCCTATCAGGCTCCCCCAGCAGACTGTCCCTTGGCGGTTGCACCTGCCCACATCCAGGAGGAGCAGATTCTTGGCCAGCTACTGGGCCATGGGCCCGGGGGCCACTGGAGGGGCGGTCTTCCTCAGGACCCATCTGCCCGGAGCCAGCCCTCCTCGGAGGTGGCCCTGCAACCTTGGGGAGCTGCCAGACTGCGACCTTTGGCCTCGGGCCGGCAGCAGTGCCCCTGGCCCTTCACGTCCACCTGTTTGGAAAGACTGGCCCTCGTTCCCCCAGTGAAAATGGAGCCGGGTGGCCTGCAGGCTATCACGGACACGCTTCCTTTCTCTGCGGCCCACATATCCTTTTCGGGTAATCGGGGTTCTCATTTGTCCCAGCCCAGGGAGACAGGAACTCCAGACGCTGAGGGGAGGTTAGGGGACAAACAACTGCTTGGCACGGGGAACTGCTCTGTTCTCCTGGAGGAGAGGGGCATCTTCTTAATGTTCGTTCTGGGGCTTCCGTCCCCTGTGGCTCATAGCTGTTAGGTTCCTGAGAAAGTGGTGGCCATGTTCTGAGGTCCAAGGGTCTGGGAGGGTTCCTTCACCTTCTTCTGTAACATAGATTCTACCACTACTGAATTAATCCTTTGGGTCTGGAAGGGTTTTGTTTATTTTTAAACCCAAATGGGCTCCCAAAATATGACAGAAACACCCTGTGGAAGGAAGAGCCCCATCACTGAGATGTCAGCAGCTCATACACCTTGGCAGAACAGGTCAAAGCAATGGCCTTACCTGAGGCGTGGCTCCCGGAACCTCTTGTCTCTTCAGGCAAAAAGAGACATCTCCTTAATTGAGACATCTCATTAAATTGCATCTCCTTGTGTCTGTGGAGTCACACAAGCAGGGGTGAATAGTCATGCCCCCTCTACCTGCACCGACTAGATAACTCATGGGCAATACATGAGGGGCCAGAAACTTGCAGGGCCGATGGGAAAAGGGGAGATTTTCTTCAGGGACAAGACCTGAGGCCAGGTGAAAGGGGTAAGAAGACTTCAGTTTAAGGACTAGCTTCTAAGCTGCTGCTGAGCAGAGAGCTGGGTGCTGCATGAGTGTGGAGGGAGTGGGGGGTCCCCCGCCGGGCAGGCTGTGGGGCCCAGGCTGGTCTGCAGGGGGTCTGAATCTTACTGCATCATCTTTGCAGGCCTTAGGGAGAGCCCACTCAGAAGCAGACGTTTCTCCAGAGTAACCCTCCCTCAGGAATGTAAAAGTTGTTGAAGCAAGAGAAGTTGCTTGGGTAAACACTGGGTAAACGTGAAGTCTGATGAAAAATGTTAAGAGGAGAATGTATACAGTCCCACAGGCATCTAACCAAAGAGCCCTCTTTCAACCAGCATCTTGTGAGTTTTAAGTTCCTGAGAACGTATTTTGGATGTGGCTTTTTTAGTGAGCCAAGCTCACGGTGCTGCTTCTCAGGGACAGCCTTAAATTGCATCTCCTTGTGCCTGTGGAGTCACACAAGCAGGAGTGAATAGTCAAGCCCCTTCTACCTGGCAAGCTGTGGTGAAGGCGGCAGGATGGGGTGGAACGCGCTCACGCCACACCAGGCTGGCTCTTGTGTCCTAAGCTATGAGCGCCACCTGCTGGTCACAAGTGTTGGCAACACTGCCCAAGCTTGGACACCCCTCGGGTTCTTTTCCTGGCAGGCAGGGAGCAACAGCCACAAACAAACCCAATGCTGAGAGCATCTCGCCAGCCACCAGTACCCCCTTCAGGCAGTAGACACAGAGAGATCACCGTAGACAGATTTTCTCGTCAGGTGAAAGCCCTGAGTGAGAGAAGCTATCTGTGCAGGCCTTTGACAAGAGGCCACTGATTAAGACTCCGTGTCAGAGTCAGGTTGTGGACGAACCTCAAGAACTCAGTCCCCGAAGATTCTCTGCTGATCTTCCCCTGGGAAGGGTATTCTGCTATTTCAGAAAAGCACCTCCTGTGTGGCTGGCCCGGCCTCGTGAAATGAGGCTTGGGCTCCGAGAGCTTCAGGGGGTTTTGGGGGGCCACCCACAGGGCCTGGCTGCCTCAATCAGGTATTGGGCTACCTTTGCAACGATTGGGGGTCCCCAGGAAGCATCCTGGCCCCAATTATTTCCTCATTCTAGAATTATAGATTTATTCTTCTGGGGCCATGAAAGCCCAGAAGAGCAAGATGCTTACATATAAAAGAACTTTCCATTCACATGATGCCCCTGTGACCAGGTGGAACAGGTATGATGATGAGGCAATGATTAGTGACCACACACCTCCTGGGCGGCAGGCACTGGGACCGACAGTTCCCCTGTGCACTGCCACCTAGCCACAGTTCTGAAACTCAAAACGCTCTGAAAACCTCTGATTTCTTTCTCCTAAGGTCGATGGGAAATCCTCTTGGTTGCAAAACCTGCAAAGCACAGGTTTTGACCTGCGCTGCGTGCTAAGTCGCTTCAGTCGTGTCCGACTCTTTGTGACCCTATGGACTGTAGCCCACCAGGCTCCTCTGTCCATGGGGATTCTCCAGGCAAGAATACTGGAGTGAGTTGCCATGCCCTCCTCCAGGGGATCTTCCTGACCCAGGGATAGAACCCAGGTCTCCTGTGTCTCCTGCATTGGCAGGCAGGCTCTTTACCACCAGCGGCACCTGGGAAGCCCTACGTGTGCTGATAGGAGGTCTTTTATAGACTATCTCACTTAGCACAATTAGTCATTGATTTTGCTGTGGGAACTTTAAACTATCTGATTAGACAGCTGCCACAGACCCTGCTGTGGGCAGTGACTAACACATCATACACACACCATATTGCCTTGACAAGATAAATTCTGAAACCTGGCATCCATTTGGCCCACTGTTTCAGAGAAGGGGTTGTGATCCCGAGTTACCTCGCCATCCTCAAGTATCCACTTTAGATCAGTATCCGAGAGGGACAAAAGCAGGCTTAGTTGCTCAGAGTGAGACAGACACATGCAGAGCCAGGATTCAAAGCCAGCTCTGACTGCCAAGCGCATTTCAACCACTACACTCCACAGTTTAGAAATAGGGCCCAGTGAAGGTAAGCGGCTTGCCTAGGGTAATACAGGCCTAGGTGGCAAAATCTATGATCTGAAGCTGGGTCTTTGAACTCCCAATCTGGGATTCTTTCCACAGCACTTATGAATGATAAGAAGTAGGACTAGTGAGGCAAGGGGCAGGGGCCTCCTGGACAGCGGCCTGGGTGCCTGGGCCAGCTATAGTTGAAATCAGTTGTCTGGTTTCCTTTGGGTAAACTGACATGTCCTACTGAGAAGCCTTCATTGTCCTAAAGCTACAGCTCTCAGGCTTCAGCTCCAAGGTCACCCTGAATGCTTCCCACACAGCCCTAGATTGTTCCTGGGAATGCTAAGTGTTCTAGTGTAAGACTCTTTATTTCCCTACCACCCTGGTGCTAGATTTTCATGCCACAGCCCCCTGCTCTTACTAAAGGGGGAGGGATCTGTTCCCAGAGTGAGAGGCATGGGTTGGAATAGAATCGCCATACTTAATCATGGATCAAAGTTGAAAATTCAATCACTCATTCCTTCATTCACCAAACATTTATTGAGCACCTACTCTGCTCCTAGCACCGGGCTAGGCACGTGGAATACAAAGATGAACGGGTAAGGCCCTTGCTCTCAAGGAGCTCACAGTCTAAATGGGGAGACAAACATGCAATAAAAACCCCAATCACATCATTCTTACAAAAAACGGCTTATACAAAGAGCATTGGTAGCCCAGGGTAAGGAAGGCCCAATTCGGCGAGGAAGGGTTTCACAGCACAGGGCCATCTGAGTTGAGGTGGGGAGGGTGTGGGGGAACTTCTGCCAGGCAAACGGAGGGAAGTGCAGCCCAGCAATTCGACCTTCTTGAGCCAAAGCAAACTGTGATCTGGTACTCAGTCTGGTTAGGTGCCTGTTGGCATCAACACCACAAACTCAACGATGAGGGCCAGAAAGGGGACCATATAGTTGACTCCTCTCATTTTACAGATGAGGAAACTGAGACAGAGAGGAGAAGTAAGTCTCTACTTGGGGTTTTGAAATGGTTTATCCGGGGGACAGCTGGCATCTCTTCCCACCCTATTGTGATAGCATGCATGCACGCGCACACACACACACACACAAAGTACAACAGATTGTATTTGCTATCACATATGCCATAGATCTTTAACACATCAAAATGTTTTTTTAAACTCTGCAACTTTACTGTACATAGATGGTATTCAGCATCTGGAAAGAAAGAAGTTTATCTGATCATACTTGCTAGAGAGAGAATAATGGAGCAAATACATCATTCAACCAGAAAAAAATTAAATAGAAACCATAAGGAACAGGAAAATTTACCATTTGGATAATTTGACAAAATCATTTGATAAGCTGGTCTTAGTTTTCCTTGACCCTGGGCCAAATCCAGGAGGGCCTCAATCCTGGTCACTTGAAGAAGGCCAAACTAATGTTTTTCTTCACACGCTACCCCAGCTCCAACCTCCTGAAGGCTTACTTCCCTGATGTTCAGGTAAAGTCCTTCAACTGAGTTTCAGTCTCTGCAAAACTCCCAAGTGGCCGCAGGTGTTTCCCACGTTGAGTCAAATCCTAGGTCATCATCTGCGCACTTTAGCTCCTCTTCTTGTGGCATTTTTGTCCTGGGCTGAGAAACTGAATAAACAGGGGTAACTTTGGGGGTGGGAAGGTTGGGTCTCTGAATTTAAGTTTCTGAGCTATAGTTAAGACCCAGAAACACTTGGGGAGGGAGGCAGGGTTACAGAACCAAGAGTAAATAGCATCTTTAGCCTAGTGTTCTTTGCTGGAGACACTATAAAAAAGAAAGGATATATCCAGAGTTGGACACTGTTGCTGTTAAATTTACCTTTGAACTTTAGTGTTTCAAAACTGAGTGAAGGTGCATACAAATCAATGTGACAATAAGAAAAATCAAGCTCTGGGGGTTGGAACCAGGCCGTGCATGTTTTCATAGTTTCCAAGAGGGCCTCCTTTACCCTGGGTGTTGGCTTAGGGGCTGTGGATACTTTGTATCTCAATCATTCCCCCCCACCCCCACCCTTTTTTTTTAATCTATTTCCCTCGTATCCAATCGCTTGTTTCATCTCTGAACCAAGTTCTCATTTTTGATTCATTGTGCAACTCTGAGTTGCCAATACATAGTCCTCCGATCTATACCATCACCCCTTCCCTTGGCTCTTTACCTTGCAGAGCACACCAGCTGTGATGTAATCTACCTGGGTGGCTGCAGAAACTGGGACCACACTGATCTTGACTGTGGGCCCTCCCAAAGTCACATTTAAGGAGTGACAAACCTTTATAAGTCTAGGCTATAAGATACATTTGTTTTCTACTGGGCATTACAGCTAATTCAGATTTTTCCATGTATAACTGTATAGGCTTAGAAAATAGCTGTGACTTCTTTTTTTTAAAGAAAGCCATGTTTAGTATGAATTGAAGCCACTCTTGCTAACCCCTGTGTTGAATTGGAAGCTGACAGTTCTGACTCTGAGCACCTTGTGACAAATGTCTGATTTCATGGATCCTGTTGTTTGCACAGTTCAACCGCTGCATCACCTCCCAGATGATCAAGTGGTTCAGCAACTTCCGTGAGTTTTATTACATACAGATGGAGAAATTTGCCCGGCAAGCGATTTCCGATGGTGTCACAAATCCCAAAATGCTGGTGGTTCTCCGCGACTCAGAACTTTTTCGAGCTCTCAATATGCACTACAACAAGGGAAACGACTTTGAGGTAAGACCATGCACTTGGGTCCCAGGAGGTCTGACGAGCGCCTTCCCTTTGTCACTGGAGTTTTAGAAAAGATCCCCGTCCATGTCTGTCCTTACGTCACTGAGAGCAGGGCAGCCTGGGACCCATCTCTGTACCATCCACAAAGATGATAGCCTCCGCATCTTCTCATAGGCAACAGGTAGATGCCACAAACTGAATCTCCAGCCAGTCTTTATTCAGAAACATGGGCTGAGGTCAGGTGTTATGCCGTTTTAGACAATACTCTGTAATGACTGGGTTTGACACCCTGCAAACCTTCTTGGCTTTGCCCCAGGAGGCCCAGGATAAACACCGGGCTCTCGCTGCAGCGCCGCTTCTTGGCCAAGGTTTTCTTTACTGCAGTTTCGGCTCATCATTTGGTTCTTATCTTTATTCTCCCTTGAACAGTTTTATCTGGGGGCCTTCCACGGCAAGTCATCTCAAATCCTTTCTGGAAGTAATAGACAATACTTAAGCTGCTCAGTCCTTTGGGGGTCCCTATGAAGGCACACTGGTGGCACCTTAGAGGTAAAGCATTGGTGAAGGGTGAGCAAGTGGCCCAAGGGTCATCGGTGAGAGCTTGTAATCTTCCTTGCGTGTGGCCAACAGCTCTGTTTGGCTGGCATCTTGTTCTGCGGTGCCCGGTGCATCTGGTTACTGAGCACACTGCCCTCTTCTCGAATTTCTCACGTGACTGTGTGGTCACAAAGAGCAATGTATTGATGCCTCCAAGAAAGAGAATTGCTGGCATCCGCTGGTCAGATGCCCCATCAGAATATGTTCAGAAACCTAAGCCTACCTGTGGGGAAAATGGACCATGCCTCCTTTGAGAGGCCCGTGGGGGTCCGGGCATGTGGGTGGGGGACAGCACTGCGTCCTTCCATGTGGGGGTGGTCATCTGGCAGGCAGTGGGGGCAAGCCCCCAGCCAGGCTGGATTTGGAGGCCCTGTGGGATGTCCCATCGTTAATGTTGCCAGTTTGGGTGAGGTCCTGGAACATAGTCTTGAGCCCGCTCCACCCCCAAGCCAAATGGTTGGCTTTGGAAGCAGGAATGAAAAAAAAGTCCTTTGAATCCAGTCCCCAAAGAAGGTGGAATGAGGTACGACACTCGTAAGCTTGGGGGTCGGTTCTTTCCACATGAGGCACTAAAGAAAAGAATACTAAAAACCTCTTTTGAACCACAGATTTCATTTCAACCAGAGTCAGAATTTCCCACTTGCTAAAAATGTCACCCATTAACGGAATCAGCTGCTGCTACAGAGGGAGTGTCCCTAATCCATTTTTTCCCAGGGCTGTCTCAGCAGGATCATCATTTTAAGGTCTGTATTTGATGAGGGAGCAAGGGATTCCTGGGGCTGCAAAAGTCAGGGGCCAGTAAAGTGGGGGTGCTCTGATCAGCCTGCAACCCAAGGAACTGGCAGCGTCAGGCAGTGAGGTCTGGATGGCGCCAGGCTTCACAGCCTCATGTTTTTTCTTTCTCGTGGGTCTCTTTGGGAACGCAGGTCCCAGACTGCTTCTTGGAAATCGCCAGCTTGACATTACAGGAGTTCTTCAGGGCTGTCTCCACAGGCAAAGACGCAGATCCTTCCTGGAAGAAACCCATTTATAAAATTATTTCAAAACTGGACAGTGACATCCCAGAGATATTCAAATCTTCCAGCTATCCCCAGGAACTGTTTCGGAATTAAGATCCCACAAAGTGAGGAGTGACTGGCCTGGCTTTCCTGGGTTTGATTCTCAAATGGCAGTCAGTACATCTGTAGTCATATAAAGAGGGCATAAGGAGAAATCCCTCAAATAGGTACTATGACCATTTTTTGATCATTTATTTCCTTTTCCAGAATTACCAGAGGTTTAACATTAACTATAAAATATTGTAAAAGGAACACAATGGTTTGGAACCAGAACAATCTCCACTCCACTGTTTCCAGGTATCATGACCCTGGGAACCTGCAGGTGTCCCTGCATCTGTAAAACGAGGTTGTAAGGATAGAGAGATACATCTTAGAGAACTCTGTGAAATGTTTATTACTCACTACACAAATGTTCTTTTCTTCCCCCTTCAGCTTTCAAAGTTATCTTATTTGGATTCTTTTTTTTTTTTTTTTTTACAAATTGCTGTTTTTAGTTACTTATTTATCAAGCTTCACCTATGTGCAAGACACTTTCAAATACATTACCTTTAAGCTATTTATCCCGAAAAGTAGATTTTATCTTCATTTTAAAAATAGCCAAACAGAATCTTAGAACTGTGAGGTAAGTCGCCAAAGCCCAGGAGGCCAGGGCATTTGGGTCGGGAGGGATGGTCAGGTGCACGGAGGCACCCACGACCTTCTGACGCCAGGCTGCATGGGGACCACGTGGTGCTGCCGCCCGCGCTCTCACACAGGCCACCGTCCCCGGTGAGCATCCAGCCCTGATGCGGACTGTCTTCTGACAACCCCTGCCTGGCACTTAGGAGTGCTTGTCACCCGGATGTCCACCGATCCTTTCAGCAAAGCCAACACAAACTTTATGCAGGACTTGAGAGTTGTTACACATTCACAGTCATCTGCTGGAAGTTTATCAGCAGTTAAATAACCCAAACTGTCTCTAGTCGACCAATGCAATGAATGCCTCAAGCTCCTATGTGCCGAAGAAACTGAACTTCAGGCCGTGAAAGCTAGAAAGGGCGTGAGGGCTCATCTGGCCCAGCTTGCTTAAATGAGGAAGGAGGAAACTGAAGCTCAGACATGAGGCTTGTGCACAGCCTCACAGATGATGAATGGCGTAACGGAGACAAATACGGCATCACACAGAAATGGAAACTCCCCTGCTCCATAAGGACCTTACAGCCCATGGTCAATCTTTCACAGATAAAGGAATTCAGGAAATCAACATTTTTTTTCTTTTCCCCCTGCTGGTCCAACACAAATGGTGACTTGCTCTGAGCATGTAAGTAAGACCTCTGGAATACTGGGTAATTGCAGCATCCCAGCTAGTCAGAATAAAGTCTTTGAAAGCATGCCAAAAGTGCACAGGCCAGGGCAGGCATCACTCAGAGCTCATTCCGACTAAGGGGTGTCTGTGATTTCATTAGCTTACTGCTTTCTCCTGTACAGAAATTACTATATCAACTACCCTACTTCCTTGACTTTTCAGGTCAGCTGGATCAGATAGGATGAAGTTTCTAAATTATTGCTAGATGTATCAACACAAAAAGGTAGTAAAGGTGACTTTCTTTTGAATTTTCTCTTACTCCAAACAGCCAAGAGGAAAAACAAAACCAAAAAAAAAAAAAAAAGAAAAAAAGAAAAAAAAAATAGCCCGAACCAGTCCTTTGGGGTTGTTTCAAGGTTATTTGTAAGTGTCCTTCAGTACATCCAACTGCTCTCAGATGATCTTTGCCCTATTTTCTCTCACAATGCTTCCTTTACAAAAATAAAAGACTCTGCCAACTCTAAGTTTTAAAAGTAAGCAAGCACTGAGCATCCCAAGCAAAGGCAATCAGTTATCTGTGTTTGCAGACAGGAGGAGAACCTGCTGTCCAGAGTGACATTACATAGTTATTTAAGACATTCATGGTAAGCAATTCCAAGTTCACATGACTGTCCAATGTGGAACAGCCACTTTCTGTCCCAAACCTGAAATTCATTATTGTGTGTTTTAAACACCAAGCCAAGCCACCTCCAGGGCAGTGAACCTTGAAATGTACAAGCTCAAATTGAAAACACGTGTGTACTGCAGTCTTTCCAGGAAGTGTTCTCTAACCACTGAGCTAAACACACAAGAATGTATAAATACATATTCTCTGCCAACAGAAGAATTTTCTATTTTATTATATTATTCTGTTTCTACCAAGAATGGAGGGAACACATTGGGAGTGTAAGCTGAGCTGGTTATTGTGTTCTTTTAGCAGTCATAATATTGCCAAAGGTCAATTGTCTGTTCACCTTTTCCTTCCCATTAAGGTGCACGTGGGTACTATTCTCTCCCAAATTAAACATACTCAGTGTCTAGTCAAATACTGCGTAACTGTCCAATCCTTCATTGATGGACAGTAGGGGCTGGACTGTGGTTTAAGATTATGGCACTACTGAGGGATTAATGTCCAATTATCAATTAAAAGCAGGCAGTTAATTGGCATTCCATGCAGAAAGAGGTTCATTAGGACCCTTTATTTCAAACATGGTTGCATTTAGCATACAGCTCCAAACCAGATTCATACAGTAAAGAGGCCAAAGGCATCTCCTAGGTATATAAGGGGTACCTGAACCATTTTCTTTCCATCAGAGAAAGTGTACACCTGGCAGAGATAGCACACCACTCTTTAAAAAAGTTGCATACCCCGTACCCACGGAGGTACATAGGTCTACTTTTTAAAATGTGTCTTTGTTTTCAATGATGTAGAATCTTGAGAAATTAATAATTTAAAATAAGGCTTCCATAACATAATTTTACATGTGTCTTTAAGAAAATTCCTCTTTTAAAGTCAAATCCTTAAATTGCTGAAATTCTGGTGACTAGTTTCCTGGATGAAGTGTTATCCTAAATTGTTCATAATCTCTTTTTTAAAGTGAAGTATAGTTGATGTTTGTACATCAACTGGTGTACAGCAAAGTGTAAATGCTCATAATCACTGATTCCTTTTTTGTTTCAATAGTTTAGAAGCTTTGCTCTGTAAAGCAAATTGAACACAGTTTGATGATGCATGCGTCCAAAACAAAATAGAAATTTGAAAAATCCTTTTTTTTTTTTACACACACTCTATTAGGTACCTGTATAGATTTCATGTAATGTAAGATCATTTTCTCAGGACTGAGAAAATCAGAAAAGGTAATGAAATAAAGTGGTGAGGGAGAGCTAAAGTTACAGTTCTGTCACGCTGATGCTTCTGACAACATGGCAAGTATACTTCTGGTCAGATTTAAGTATATATAACACACACTGTAAGGAATGAGCTCTAGTTACCTATTTGAGATTATTGATAATTCATGCTGAGGTAGATCATGGTACCTATACTTAAAAAGATGTACTAAGTGCTCAGCTATAGAATAAGATAATTCAAGAAAAGGGCATTTTTAAAGGATAGACAATTCCTACAGACCAGAAGCTCTTTCAGATTATATAAACTTAAATAGTACAACCAAGTACCCAGGAGTTGATGCTCAATCATGTTGTTTTAGAAAATCAGATGTGAGGCCCCAGAGAACAAATGGGAATGTCTGATGAAACGCTGAGGACAGGTACAGATAATGAAAACAGTACAGGAATACCCACCCACCCACCTCCAAACTCCATCAGTTTCACATGTTCATACATTCCCTGAGGAACCTGCCTTCTCTTTCACCGAGTTCCTTGGGGTTGTTTCTCACAATCTTATCCTTCATACTCATAAACTCATGCTTTGCCACTCTGGAATTCTCCATGGTCACCCCTTAAACGTCAGATCCTAGCCTTCCCTTCAGTTCAGTTTAGTTGCTCAGTCGTGTCCGACTCTCTGCAATCCCATGGACTGCAGCATGCCAGGCCTCCCTGTCCATCACCAACTCCTGGATCTTACTCAAACTCATGTCCATCAAGTCAATGATGCCATCCAACCATCTCATCCTCTGTCGTCCCCTTCTTCTCTTGCCTTCAATCTTTCCCAGCATCAGGGTCTTTTCAAGTGAGTCAGTTCTTTGCATCAGGTGGCCAAAGTATTGGAGTTTCGGCTTCAACATCAGTCCTTCCAATGACTATTCAGGATTGATTTCCTCTAGGATGGATTGGTTGGATCCCCTTGCAGTCCAAGGGACTCTCAAGAGTCTTCTCCAACACCAGAGTTCAAAAGCATCAATTCTTCCATGCTCAGCTTTCTCTATAGTCCAACTCACACATCCATACATGACTACTGGAAAATCACAGCTTTGACTAGACAAACCTTTGTTGGCAAAGTAATGTCTCTGCTTTTTAATATGCTGTCTAGGTTGGTCATAGTTTTTTTTCCAAGGAGTAAGTGCCTTTTAATTTCATGGCTGCAGTCACCATCTGCAGTGATTTTGGAGCCAAGAAAATAGTCCCTGACTGTTTCCATCATTTCCCCATCTATCTGCTATGAAGTAATGGGACCGGATGCCACAATCTTAGTTTTCTGTTGGTGAGCTTTAAGCCAACTTTTTCACTCTCCTCTTTCACCAACAGCCTCTTTAGTTCTTTGCTTTCTGCCATAAGGGTGGTGTCATCTGCATATCTGAGGTTATTGATATTTCTCCTGGCAATCTTGATTCCAGCTTGTGCTTCATCCAGCCCAGCATTTCTCATGATGTACTCTGCACGTAAGTTATATAAGCAGGGTGACAATATACAACCTTGACATACTCCTTTCCTGATTCGGAACCAGTCTATTGTTCCATGTCCAGTTCTAACTGTTGCTTCTTGACCTGCATATAGATTTCTCAGGAAGCAGGTCAGGTTGTCTGGTATTCCCATCTCTTTCAGAATTTTCTACAGTTTTGTCATGATCCATACAGTCAGAGGCTTTGGCACAGTCAATAAAGCAGAAGTAGATGTTTTTCTGGTATTCTCTTGCTTTTTAAATGATCCAGCAAATGTTGGCAATTTGATCTCTGGTTCCTTTGCTTTTCTAAAACCAGCTTGAACATCTGGAAGTTCACAGTTTATGTACTGCTGAAACCTGGCTTGGAGAATTTTGAGCATTACTTTACTAGCATGTGAGATGAGTCCAATTGTGCAGTAGTTTGAGCATTCTTTGGCATTGCCTTTCTTTGGGATTGGAATGGAAACTGACCTTTTCCAGTCCCATGGCCACTGCTGAGTTTTCCAAATTAGCTGGCATATTGGGTACAGCATTTTCACAGTATCATCTTTCAGGATTTGAAATAGCTCAACTGTAATTCCATCACCTCCATTAGCTTTGTTCATAGTGATGCTTCCTAAGGCCCACTTGACTTCACATTCCAGGATGTCTGGCTCTAGGGGAGTGATCACACCATCTTGGTTGTCTGGGTCATGAAGATCTTTCCTGTACAGTTCTTCTGTGTATTCCTGCCACCTCTTCTTAATATCTTCTGCTTCTGTTAGGTCCATATCATTTCTGTCCTCTACTGCGCCCTCCTATTTTTCTCATATTTCTTCCACCCAGACTCCTATCTCCTTCATCACTGCTTCTCCTTAACCAAGTTTGGAAAGTAAACAAGCACTGGGTACCTTAGGCTAGAAAGCCAGTCTAAAGCCAGAATGTCTCATTTTCCTCCACTTTATTCTCAGTGATCTGATCTGCAGTGTCCCTACCTTCACTTTCCCCCTCAACCAACACCTTTCCGAAGAAGATTACTGTGGTTAGGGGCATGAGTTCTAGAGTGTCTTTTCTAGAGTGTCTGTCTGGCTCAAGCACCTACCAGCTATGATCTCTGTGAACTGTTTATTCCCTTGGCTTTAGCTTTCCCATTTGTAGAACAGAGATAATAAAAAAGTAACTACCTCAGTAAAACTGTTCTAAGTTTTAGGTAAAGTCATCCACATGAAATTCTCGGCACAATCCGAGTGTACAGTAGGTGCTCAGTAGCTACGTTCTTACTCAGCAGTCATAAACTGTTGGCAAAATCATGAATATGTACTCCTACCAGTGACAAATAATTATTTCTTAAGAATGGCGCTGATGTGTGACATTACTGACATTACAAAACATATTCTAAATTTTCTTTTCACTACAACCATGCAGTAACATGCACTGATTTAGGGGATGATAGCATAAAACATAGCTTTAAAGTGGTACCTCCTGAGAGGTAAATGAAATCCAGCTTTAAAAAAACCCTTGTGCTATGAACTTTATATGCATCCTCATTTACTCTTTGTAAAAACTGCATGCTGACATGCTGCTTACTAGACATATGACATGATCATTGCTATTTGCTAGTTGGTTGCTAATACATCAACTGGCTTTTCCTTTTTATAGGTCAATACATTGCTTTTTTGACATCCTTTTAACCATAAACTTTGTGACTGATGTACTGATAGCATTTCTAAAATTATCCTACTTGCTGTCTTTAGCACCTGCTTTTAAAGCTGTATCAATGTCCACTAGACAGTTCTTGGCTTATTTTCTAAATTAACTTCTGTACAGTTATTCAAAACATCTTTGAATTGTTCCACT